TTTTGGAGCTGATCCAAACACAACCAGTAGGGGGCGAAAGAGCAACCACAGCTCAACGTGGCTGACCAATGAGCTTCCAGAACACAGAGTAGGTGGGCGGTGTCAGTGTGCTGTAAGGCAAACATGGCGGCGACTACAGAAGATGATATTGAGTGTAATACTCAGGACTACTATTCGCTGCTCAACGTGAGGAAGGAGGTATGTTTTATTTTATAAATTTACAGCGAAAGCCTGTGAACCAGTGGTCCGTATTTAGTCGGTACATCAGTAGAACCGGACCCCTCAGTCAGGCAGCACCTCCTTCTCGGAGGAGGAGGAGGCTAAGGAACAGTTGATGCTACAGATTCATGCAAAAAATTCTGATTTTGGAACAGTGAATGAGAGGAATGCATCATTAAAACCATAACAGCAGTAATTAGTATCATCTCAGAACTCAGTTTTCATTAGAAATAGGACAGCTGACAGACATAATTTACACAATTTATAATGCAAGCCTAAATAGCCTCTCAGCATCTTAACGCTTTAAAGCCTCTGCAGAGACTCAAAATATTTGTGAACTGTGCAAACATTAATATAAAAAGTATGATAAGCATTTATTTTGCAGGGAAATTATCTTTAATCTTCTCAGATGTTTTAATTGTGAACTTTAATTGCTTCCTTTAATTAAAAAAAGCTTCTTTAGTTTCTCATCTTTTGAATGTTTTTCTTGTCCTTCTGAGGAGTGACYTGTGACATTTTCTCCTGTCACAGGCAACATTGGAGGAGGTGAAATCATCATACCGCAGGCTTTGTATGCTCTATCATCCAGACAAGCATCGAGACCCCGAGTTGAAAAGACAAGCAGAGCAACTCTTCAACCAGGTTCACCAGGCCTATGAAGGTACAGACTGGTAGTAGACAGTCGAGACAAGCTTATTGCCTCGTGCATATTAATTATGGTTAATTGTTCTTTTTTTTTTATCAATACACGCAGATTAAATGCATCCTTTAGGTAATGATGTTTGCAGAACTACAGTGCAAAAAACACAAACATGCACATAAACTGAACTGTAATTTCACCTGTGGAACTTTCAGTGCTGAGCGATGCCCACTCCAGAGCCATCTACGACCTGTTTGGGAAGAAAGGGCTGGAGGTGGAAGGCTGGGAGGTTTGTTTARTTTCCTGCCATTATTTTTCCACACACAAGACACGAGTGGTTTTGCTGCCTTTTAAAGCCCCGCGCTCTATGTTCGCGCTGACACCGTGTAGGTGGTGGAGAGGAAGAGGACGCCGGCAGAAATCCGAGAGGAGTACGAAAGGCTGCAGAGAGAAAGGGACGAGAGGAGGCTGCAGCAACGAACAAACCCCAAGGTCCGCTCAGTCTCCCGTCTCAACCTCTGTGTGGTTTCCGCTTTCGTCTCTGTAAATCTGTAGCTGCTCTACCATTTTTAAACCCAACACTCTCCATCAACCAGGGCACCATAAGTGTAGGTGTGGATGCGACAGATCTGTTCGACCGCTACGATGATGACTTCGAGGAGATGCCAGGAGGAGGCTTTCCTCACATAGAGATCAACAAGATGCGCATTTCCCAGTCTATAGAGGTACAACCAAAACCCACCCCGCTACACGTGGACCACCCTCATGCTAACCTGGACCAGGTTATACTTTCTGTGTTTATTTGTTTTTTTTAGGCTCCTTTGACAAATACAGACACAGCGATGTTGTCTGGCTCACTTTCTACCCACAATGGGAGTGGATGGGGGAACATTAACATGACCGTACGCCGAGTTTTGTCACCCAAAGGCTGGGGGGAGGTACACGCAAACATTCATGCAGTCATAGAAGCACTTTGTTGTGTGTTGGTGAGAGGATTGTTAGCCTCCACGTGTGTTTGTGTCTGCAGGTGGAGTTCGACGCAGGAGATGTTTTGGGGCCTCTGCTTGGGTTAAAAGGGTTCTGTAATATTACTCCACGGTGGTAAGGCCCAGTTTCTTTTTAAAGTGTTAAATAACTAAAGTGCTGTGGCAACTTCTGGACAGCGTTAGCCGTCCCACGACCGCATCCGTCTGTCATTCCTCTCTCCAGTTTCCTCACGGCCCAGTGCAACCTGCGGTTCTCCCCTCGAGGCTTGAGGCAGAGCTGCTCCCTGATGACGGCGCGGCGCCTGGACCAGAACACCATGGGTTACCTTCAGTGGCGCTGGGGGCTCAACAGCACCATGACCACCAGCCTGGTCCGAGACACGAAGACCAGCCACTTCGGTTTAGATCTGCAGGTYAATGAAAGTGCAGGCGAAGACACTMCATTTCTGTTTTGACTTCATGTTCAGTTCTAATCATCTGTCTCGTAGCTGGGTGTGCCTCACTCCTACCTGATGATGAGCTACAAGTACAAGTTCCAGGACGAAGACAAGACCGAAGTGAAAGGCTCTCTCAAGTATGTCTGAAAAAGCAAAGAGTTTATTGAATCAAACGGTTTGCAAGTCAGGATCGCTGAGCATAGCAGTTTCTGTCCATACAACACTTTACGTAATTAACTGGTTCTGGTAATTCATGTATTAACATGTGTTTTACATGACATGTCAAGCACTCTGTGTGATTTATATACAGTGCATTAGCACAAGGTCAGATATTGACGAATGAGTTGATTGGTTTCATTGATTATTTTAAAACGGCACTCAGTTTTTGTTTTGTTTTTTACTAACTGTGCATTTAGCGACCGATGCTTCGCTTTCGTGCACCTCCCACGTGATCATAAATGCAAACAAAAGATTTACGGTCGACGCCTGGTGAAGATGCACAGCGTGGAAGTGGTGCGTGCTCAGCCTCGGAGCGCTGACCAATCAGGACAGGCTTGGCTTTTTGCAACAGAGTGCGGTCTCATTAGTTTTCTTCTTGTGTAATTACAGAAAAGCAAAAACCACCTCAGAGACCATTTCAGTGGAACTCCGAAGAGCATCCAGAGCACGAGATGAAAAGGCTCCCATTGTTAGTCTGACTCGAGAGCGCAGACTGTTGATTATATGAGGTCGTTTGGCTGCTGCTCCTCTTTCCCCTCTCTTACTTCCTGCATAACGCTGTTTTCAAAATCCCTTTTTTTCCTTATAAAAAAGGACATCTGTGTTTGATGGAGATTGAAATTGAAAAACATGCTTATATTAAAAATAATATTTTTGCAAGCTCCACCCACTTTCTACATAATAACCTCGTCTTCAATACATTTTTGCTGAGCCAATGTTCCTGCACCTTGACTCCACAGAAGACAGTTGTGATTGGTTCACTTGCTTGAAGTTTTAATGCTCCTTCAGCAGCCTGTTTGTTGTTTTCTGCACCACCCATCTCATATACAATTAATGCTGAGTGTAAGTGATTAAACATGCAACACACCTACTGAAAGCTTCAATTATTCTGATTCATTTTATGCTTTTTATTCAGTTAAATAGACAAATTGCCTCAGTGCTCAGAGGAGATTATGTCTAAATCCTTTTGGTGATGCACCAAAAATACAAAAAACAAAACCTGTTTTTTATTTCAGTATGTTATCACAGAAACATCTCAGAAAAACAAGCAGTGGTTTTGATTCTTGCTCCAAGTCTTTATTAATGTATATCAAGTTTGTATGTAAACCTTTTTGAAACAAATGAATTTTTTATTTTGAAGTACGCTGAGCTCATGATTGACACTTCATTTGATACTGTAGGTGCTTCCACGTTGTGTCTGCAGGCTTGAATCTCCAACGAGCGCCTGCGTTGTAAAAAGTGCATGCCCCTCTTCTGTAGTTTTCCAGCTCCTGTGTCGGCCACTCATGCAACTTTTAAATGTGCGCCAACAAAACCCTGCATAAATCGAGGTTTAACGAGATGGCTTTATTTTTATGGGCAAAACTACTTGTAGAAATAAAACGAAGGGCAGATGTTTGCTGAAGCCGTTTGTGACTCTTCAGACCATGTAATGTTAATGTTTGAAATGTTTGGTATTAAATCATCAACTTTTTTGATTAACCTGTTGAACTCCGGTACCAGGAGCAAAACTGCACTTCCTGTTTTTTAAATTTATTTTAACTTCTTGTCATTTAGGCATGCACAATAAATCTGAAACCCAGTTTAAATCACAAACAGTTGAGTCAGAAGGTAAACAAATTGTTAAAAATGCAAATACCTAACTAGTTTTGTAAAGTGTTTGGAAATTTTTTTGATTTTGAGTAATTGTGCTCTAGTTGCAGTTAAATATTTTCATTGTTTTATATGAACAGGGTGAAAAATAAATGTGTATAATTTTTCCAAAAAACAAACAAACATTCAAAAATGAGTGTTTTCAGACATTTAAGAAAAAACTATACATTTTTGCAAATAAAACAAACTTAAGATTTGTTAACTTTTATTAATGGAACCAACATAGTCTATCCTGTGCTGAATGACAACACTCTGAATTCTTTCTTCACTTCTGTATGTTTGCTCTAGTTTATTTTAGCAGCATAAATCCTTGCACAAATAATGTCCACATGTGGATTTATGGTTTGCAAAAGTTTATTCATTATATTTTAAAGGGTTATTTATTGTAAAAGGCAAAAAAAAATAAAAATAAAAAAAGCTTAGGCGAGGGGAAAATATGCAATTTTTCCTGTTCCATCCTCACTTTCTCTGAAARAACAGCAGCTGCTTTGATACTTACACTTCTGATGAAATGTCCCAAGTGTTAGCTTCTTTTGATGACTAGATTAAGTAGAGTTTGTAAATGCTGAGACACACTCCATTACATTTGGATATGCTATTTCAAGCACAAACTTCAACAAAACCCCTTGGAGCTAAAGAGGTTTTAAACTTTGATTTTCCAACCTGTTTTATCTGACTGGACATGTCTCCTCACCGATCGACAGATAAAGCACAGATTTTAGATAGAAACAAGTTTATATACACATTAACTTGTTCAGTTTGAAGTTCTTCAGTGTTTTGTTTTAATAAACAGGGTTCTTGTCTTTACAGGACCGGCTGGTTTGGCACCGTGGTCGAGTACGGAGCGGAGAGGAAGATCAGCCGACATAGTGTTCTGTCAGCCACCGTCAGTATCGGCGTCCCGCAGGGAGTCACTCTCAAGATCAAGTACAGGCCACTCCCGAGATATAATCCCACCCCCCGAGATATAATCCCACTACTCTGTGTGTCGTCGTCACCCTCGACTATTAAATGTGTTTTTGTTGTTGTTGTTTTATTATTGTTTTGTTGCAGGTTGGCGCGTGCTAGTCAGACCTACCTGTTTCCAGTCCACCTGACAGACCAGCTGCTGCCCAGTGCGGTCTTCTACGCCACTGTGGGGCCTCTTCTGGTCTACATGGTCGTCCACAGACTGATCATAATCCCGTACACAAAAGCTCAAAAGGAGCAGTGAGTAAACCGTCCTCTGCCTCATCCAGCATCTCCATTCAGCTCTGAGAGTTTAAGTTTCGTTACTGTGTAAACTTCAGTTAATAGAGATTGTTTGTTTTTAGCTTTAATCATTGTTTTGTTTTTACTTACATAATTTTCTAAAAAAAGAAAGAAAAAAAAAGAAAACTCATCTAAATCCCTGATATGGGTAAACACTTAGCATCTCTGTTTATGAGTGTGTCAAGGGGTTTCTTTCAGGCTTATGCTGTCATCAGCGAAAGCCTCCACAGTGAATCCCTGTGGGTGGCTGTTGATGTCTGCTTTGTGTGTGTGTGTGTGTGTGTGTGTGTGTGTGTGTGTGTGTGTGTGTGTGTGTGTGT